CCTACATCGTAAGAAATGGGAAGCAGAATTGCCCCAGGTGTTTATTTTGCATTATGTTTTCCTCTGTTGTGAAAGCCAGATTTTAAAATCCCCAAATTCTTCACAAAACAGAATTTCTATCCTCTTCACAGCTCCACAGATTATGTCTTTGATGAGTGCATATACACCTCATTTCATTGTGCATCATGCTGCTTATTCTCTTAGCTTCCATTGCATCCTTGTGAAGTTTCTCCCCGTCTTCTCTAAGCAAAATAACTTGGTAATGATAGGTGTTTTCTATCTCTAATTTTTTTAATTCTCTGCTTCTAGTCTGGTGCAGAAGCCCTCCTCACTGAAACAGTACTATGTTTATTCTTGCATCCCAGACAATGAATGGGACACACATTTCCTGGCATTACATAATACTCCCAGCAATGCAACTGCCTAGTGATACCCCAAAATCCTCCAGACAGATTGGCAACTGGGAAGAGATGTCTGCGCAAGGCTATCTAATTACAGACAAACAACCTTTTGCTTATATGTTAGCAAAACACAGCAGGAAGGGTTGGGGGAAACTCTTAGTCACACCATATGATCCTCTTTGAACTACTGGGTATCAAATTTAAATGATGGGCTTTTCTTGTGTTAATTTTATTTAATTGAATCATAAAATATTATGTATAGAATGGAAGGAGACTATTATGGGGTCCCAATATTTAACCATTCATACTAATGCTTCATGGTTCCATTGCGCTCTGCATGTTCAAAGCACTATGCAAACATTAATTATAACTCACAGCAGCCCGGGGCCAGACGGAGGAAGGGAGGAAGGGAGAGAAGCAGTATTAATCATCAGAAAATGGCTTGACTCTGGAAGTTTGGACTCAGATGCAAATTTCCACAATGTGTTGGTGTTTTCTGATCTGGGTTTATGCCATGCCCTAGTATTATATCCATTTACAGGGACGCAGACAGGTTAAGAGAGATAATGCTAAAGGCCATATGTCAAATCAATGTCAGAGCCAGAATTAGCTCTTAGGAGATCCCAGCTTCCAGTCCTGCACATTAACTACTGAAGAATGCTACTACTTTTAACAGGGAGACTCCATCTGCTTATGGATCTTATGGTTTCCTTAGGATGCCCAGTGAGTCAGCTGCAAGAGGAAGCCTAGAGAGTATTCTAGATAATGTCTAGTCTATGACTTGATGGTTAAGCAGCTTTACTGGCAAGTTAGAAATGTAGGTTCAAACCCCTTTTGGATGAAAGGGACTTAAAACCTGGGTCTCCTATTGCCCGACTAAGTGTTCTAACTGCTGAGCTGAAAGGGGAGATGGAGCTGGATTTGGGTGTGTATGTGTATTGGCTACAGTGACCTTAAACCTGATTTTGAAAAACAACAATCTTTTCTTAAGGTACTAGACTGATTGACAGAATGCAATGGGAGCCTCTGCAAAAGTTCTCAAAGTCATTGTTTTAATAAATCAGAAACATTTTAAAAGAGACATCTGAGGGAATGAATCTAGTTCAGGTAGGGGAGAGCTAGATCATGGACACCGAAATCATCCAGGCTGAATTAGGCTGAGGAAGAAGCTCTTGCAGGATGGTTTGGTTAAAAGACATGACTGAGGAGTGTTCTTCACCCAGTTTGGCAAACCTGAGAAGCTAACTTTTATTACAGTAGCAAAGACAAGGCAACTCTGGCTTTAACTTGGGTTAGCATCTCAAGGTCAGCTCTAAGCTCCTCAATGTTTTTAACTCAAGCTGCAAACTTGAGTTAAAACCCAAGTTGTTAACATGGCAGCAAAGCCAAGACCTAATTTATCTTTTTCAGTAGAAAACCCTTATTTTCTCTGCCACTGTCCACTTAAAAAAAACAAAACCTAAAGCTATTGACTCAACCTTGTTCTCCCTCCTACTGGCATAAATCAGAACCAGCTCCCACAAGGTTC